ATGAAGCCGTTGTGTTCCAGTTCTTGTACATGGTGTGGCAGGCGAGATAGGCCATGTAGGCTGAAGAAACGGGGTTGTAGTCAATGCATGTGCCTTGTCCCATTCCAGCGTAAAGATGAGGTCGCATGGCGGCGAGGGCGATCTCGTGCTCTGGGTTGACAGATTGCACTCGCGTGGGAAGGAGCAAAGGACGTCGCTCCTCCACTTCGCCTGCTGTGTCGTCTTCATCCGACATCATCTCCTCATCAGGTTCCGGCTCACCTACAGTCTGTTGATCCAATCGCAGACAAAAAATCCGTCTCATGGAGGTTTTGTAACCACACAAACGACTTCAGGACCAGTCAATAGCCTTAGTCTCCGCAAAAAGCCCAGCATGCCGATCATGCGGACAATTTCGAAACTAAACCATGTCACGGAATATATTGCTGCACTATGTTTTAGCACCCCGCGGCTGTCGTCCATGCCTGACCATCTTGTCGTTACAGTCAAAAGGCGAACCGCGAATATGAGACTATGACAGCCGCGATCCGGATATTCATCGACCCATCACACCCTCCCAAGTCGCTGAAGGAAAAAATAAAAGGCTCACCTTAAGGAAGTATTTTGCAGACCTTGCGCACTGCAAAAGGTCCGGAAAGTGGGAACTGTGAAACTGTTGAAACTTGCGACTGCTAGCCTCTCCAACCTCACTTTGGCGAGTCCTTCCGAGACAGCTGGGAGCGTGGCCATCGTTCACGACATGTGGAGAGCTGATGTTCCTTACGCCGTACGCTGCATGGACAATGAGTTGAACCTAGTCCTTTGAGGCTTGCTGTCAGCCAACCGCAAGAAAAACCGGGAAGACCTAAGGTTCAAATTCTCCCTCGAGCCAGGTGAACTAGAAAGCCCCACGGGGACTGCTGGTCCTTTCCCCGCGGCAGGAGCGGTAATCCAGAAGCAGCGCTAACCTCGGCCGGGCAGGTGCAAGCAGACGTGCATAGCATCAGAAGCACTGAGTTCATCGAGGAGAGGAGTAGAGAACAAAAACAGAAGCAGAAACTCAGACTCTAAACGGCCCTCCAACACCCTTTGGAGGCCATGGAGGCCCTAAACCTCCAACTCTCCCGCTTCTTGGGGCTTGGCAGGAGCCATGGGGCTACGGGAAGGCGATGGTGTGGCACGTCGGCTGGGGCCTCAGAAGCAAAAGATCTGCCAGAAAGGGTCCGTAGCTCAGGAGTTGCTATGCGGGTCACTGTAAGGTACGGATCACTATAAGGGTTGCTGTAGGGTTGTCCGGTGATCGCGATGTCTGATCTGAAGTGCTGCCGGGCTTCAGTCAGATGATTCAGCTGGATCCCGAATTTAACGGACCGTTTGGATGTGCGTGCGTGTGTGTGTGTGTGTCAGTGTATGTATGTATGTATGCATGTTTATGTGTCTATGTATGTATGTATATATATATATATATATATATATATGTACGCACATGCATACAGAAGTATATGTGCGTGAGAAGAGAGACGGAAAGAGATACATGCACATAGTCTCTAGATAAATACACACACACATATATATATATATATATATACATACACATATGTATATATATATATATATGGATGTATGTGTGTGCATGCATGTATGTCTATATATACTATAATGTGTATATATATATATATACACATACATACACGTGCATAACTTATATGTGTGTGCATCAGATAAAGCTCATACAATTAACTTGGCTACATGTGGACATGTGCATGTATGTAATGTCGGGGCCTTAATAACTGGAATAGGGTCTTGGGGTACCTTCTGGTGTACTTACACCAAGCAACCCTAAGTCCTAAGGACTACGCTAGGGTAACACTAAGGGTCCATGTACCCATATAGTATATACATTGGCCCCAAAGTGCCTATATAGGGACTACTTTAAGGCCTCAAAGTATATACTATTTGGGCACATGGACCCTTAGGTTAAATTCTTCTTTGGCCCTCTTTTTTGTGTGACTCCACCGGAGCTGAGCTTGGGACTCTCCCAGTTCTCCTGGTGAATAGCCTGGCCGAGGCTTGCAACAGACCTTCATTTGATTAGGGTTCCTTTAAAGGGTTACTATTAAGCGTTATTAGAAGGGTGCTATAAGGATATAATGTAGGGGCCTTGACAATTCGACTAGGGTTTGGTGTATATTGTACTACTATGATTTATAATAGGTCCCCCATATTACCAGCAAACCTCTTAAACCCTAACTGAACCCGTCTTGCTACTGGACTCAAGTCTAGTCTGACTACGTCCTGCCCGAATTAAACCCTAAAGCCTAAACCCTAAACCTACCAGGCCCACCTCAATAAGAGAAGCCCTCAGAGATTCGATATGTTGAGGTTCGGAGACGCTTGGCTCAGGCAGAATTCTCGCCCACGCAGTGTGCCTGACCACCTCAATTTGAGAAAGCGAAACCACAACATTCACCGGGACGGCAAGCACAGTGTAAGCTCTCTGCGACATAATGAAAAATATGAAAGCATGAGGCGACCCAGGACTCGCTAAACTGTGGCAGGAAATTGAAGCCCTTACTGCACTCAATCGCCAACTGACAACTGGTAAACAGAGCATCTTCTGCAGAGAGTTGCTGACAGAACTGTAGGGCGAGTCCAGGCAAGCAAATTGTCGCATGTTCAGGCTTAGAGGCTTAGAGGGCAGAGCCCGCATAACTGGTCAAAGCAACGACTGGGTTCATGAGAAGGAGAATCCCTCTCCGTTCATGTCACAGGTCACGTAGAACAAAACAACCTGAAAAAGCAAACGCTAAGCACCACCACCCCTACACTCACGACTGCCGTCTTCTGCTACTGCACCTCCTTGTCAGCAGCATCGCGTTCATCAGCATAAACAGCATAATCGCAGCACCACCACCCGCGAGCACTGTCAACATGACTACCCTCCTCCTCCTCATCATCATCATCTCCTTTCGCGTCAAGGAATCAACATCAGCAGCTCAAAGATCCGTGCAAAGAGGCATCGGTGCCTGATACGGCCGCATCGGCACCGGAGCTGCTACGGAGGAGCCCTGACAGCCCGTCAGCGAGGCCCGCTCAAGTTTCGTCTCATGTCATGCAACAGGCTACACACAAACTGCTATAGATCGATCCTAGTCTAGGTAGATCGAGGAGACTGTTTGGTCTATAAGTGCAGGCTGAACATTGCTTATACTTCTCGTCATGGATCTGCCATACTCGTCCCTCAACTTGTAGTTAGGCAGCAACAAACACAGCTGGAGCCGGCCTCCCCCATCGTTGCCAGTTTGCGGGAGGCCCTGGCAGCAAGATTAGCACATCTTTGTGTGTGCTTGGGGACTGACACCGCATAGATTGTGATAGGCTTTTGCATCAAGCTCCTCAGGTAATTATTCTCTTTGGCACACCATGGCAATGAGTGAGGGAAACAAACGCACCACATCTTTTCTACGCACTTGACTCCACTGGGCCCACTCAGCTCACAATGTTCTGTGGGCTGTCGGCTAGAAACGCCAGTATGTTCTCCAAGGTAAGCTCCTGAACACGAAGGCGCTGGTGCAATCCAGACCCCAAATGGCGAGGCATGGCAGTTTATCAGGACAAACGGATCCTGTACAACAGTCTGCCTCACGTATTTTTTCTGCGACCCTTCTCAAGGAGTACTGCACTCGGCGGACGGGTTGACTGGTCTAGAACGACTCTGTGCATACGCTGTATGTGAAAATTATACATCACGTATATACCTACCCACCTACGCATCTAGCTACAGATCTAACCACCTACCTGCCTACTTACCTACCTGCCGATCTGGCTCCTTACATACATAGATAGACAGATAGATAAATACACAGACAGCTAGCTGCCAGCTGCAAGCTGGGCAGCGACCTCGCATGAGTGTGTCGGAAAGCCCGGTCCTGTCTTCGCAGAAGCGCCTCGCAGCACTCTTGGGAGAGGGGACACGTTGCTACTTGGTTTCAGGCTTTAGGGCCATGGGGGCAAGGGATATCTTCGAAACATATAGACCTGTCTGAGAACTGTGCGGTATAATGTGCAATCTTAGAATCTTCGAGATCGCATCCGCACAGTGGTAGTCGTAGGTGCTCATCTAGCTTCGGGCACCAAGACCCTGCTGTTATCTGCGGAAAACTAGCTGACCAACGGAATGTTTCGAACGTCGAAACGACAGGACCCTCAGACTTGCTTCGGGCCTCATGGCACTTGTACGCGAGGTGCGGGACAGAGACCAAGTGGCCTGAGATAGCCGGGATAAGACGGATTGCCGATCCTCGTCGACACTTCCCGAGCTTGCTTACGATATAGGGGCGTGGGCGAAGGGCCGAATGCGGGGATGCAACTGCTGGTCGTCGGAATTTCCCCATTTGCTGCCGGAATTGTTATTGCTGGCAGGATTGTGAACAGTAGGAAGATGAACCTGAAGGGTCCAGTCTTCTGTCTCTTCTCGGAGGTTGTTGAGGGGTCTGAGAACTCTGCGCAGCTCTGAAGTGCGACAGCCACAAAGAGAACGTAGCATGTATCATATACTACATTTACTACATGTTGCATACTCTCTCTCTCTCTCTCTCTCTCCCTCCGTATGTATGTATATATATATATATGTGTGTGTGTGTGTGTATACATATTTATGTTATGTCTGTGTGTGTATATATATATATATATATTGTATATGTGTTTAAGTACAAGCAAGGCGCCAGCAAGGCCCAAACCCAAAACCACTGCAGCCGTTTCTCCGGTGCCACGTCTTCAGCATGCACGCTCTGGGAAAAGCGGAAGCACAACAGGCACAGGCTCTGTTTAGGGGCTTCTGAGTGGCTAATGCAGGGGTCGGGTTCTAGGGTTTGGGGAGAGGAAGCAGGGCAACACCTTCTGCATGTGAACTTTGAGTTCGCCGGGCTGTCTAGCCTCTATTTCCCCTCACGAAACTTCGTGAAGACACATGGGGCTGTGAAGACGGATGCCAATGGGCATGCCATCTAGCACTTGCATCACCGGCCAATATCTGCCAAAAGACCTCGGACCCTAAACGCTGTACCCGGGACAGAGCTCCCAGCTTGACATCCCTAACCCTGGTCCAAAGGACCAATGTGTTGCCTCATACTGCACAAGGACCTAAGCCCTAAACCCCGACCCAATAATCATAACTATGCTCTCGCAACTCGGACACCGACATACAAGCAATGAGGTTCTCTGGTTTGGGGTAGTAGTTCTGTGGCATACATATATAAAAAAATATACATATATATATATATATATACACATACATGTGCATATATACATATATACACATGTGTTTTATACTTGGACCCTCAGGGCAATCTCCACTTGGCCGGGGGAAAAACTGGAGGAACTCCGACGAGGACGCAAGTGTCCATGCCCTGCCGGACTTACCGCAAGCTGAGAAGCTTTCATGTCACTCGGGAAGATGGACGTTGCAAACACGGCTATGAGATCCGGTACCAAGCTCTAAGCAACTACTTGTAAAATGGTCGACGGCGCTAACATCCCCACCCGAGCGAACAGAACAACACGGCGCCTTCGGATGTGAGAACAACATCAACAAGAGATATCACGACCCTTCCATAAACTTTCCGATCATCGATGCTGGGACTGGAAGGCGCCACATTGATTTCTGCTAAGCCAAGTCATGCTGGCGGCACTGGCGGCGCTGGCGAGTTCGATCTTGCCAACCACTCCAACCTCATCAAGCTGCCGGGAAGCGGGCTTCTGGTTTTGGAGCGTCTGGCATGAGATGACCAACTCAAAGAAGCAGCACCAAAGAGAAAACAACACTTGTACCACCGTGGCGAAGGGACAAGGCCGCCGTGACATCAGAAGCGTCGGAGGCGTCCTCGGGGAGATGATGTCTGAAGAAGACTGACGGATCCCTGGACAAACGCTAAAGTCGGGCCTGCCTGAGATGCTGCATTATGCCGGGACAAACAAACCGACCTCGGATTCTTTCTAGAGGCTGCAGAGATCCGTTTGTCCATGTGCTAAAAAAACCGAAAGGCACGAACCAAGCAAGACGACTTTTTCTTTGGGTTTTGGGCCTCCGGGTATTCAAGCTATCTGCTGTCGAACTGCCCGATGTCGCGTAAACCTAGGGCCCAGGCAAGTGAAGCCTGATTTAGGGGCCTTGTAGTATTTAGAATAAGGTTTTGGGCACATTATGCCAGATTTCGTAAGAAGAGGCCGCTGCAATGGGATTGGTAAGTATTTACACCCCTATGTTCGGGCCGAGAAGATGCCTACGTGCACAAAACAAGCCCATGTAGCCCACATACCCTAAACCGTTAAGGCATATCAGCTGACTCCTGCATTCTCTATTTCGATCATAGGCTCCTTGAGGTCCATGGGTGCTCCAGTGAGCGGACACCGGCCACCCGCTCGGCGGTGCCACTTCTCCAAGCACCGGCGGCTAAAGGCAACTGGATACCTCGAGGCCCACGATGCCCAGGAAATGGAAGCCCCGAGTAGTATGAAAATGCTGCTCGCAGCTGCACAAATATGTCTGGCCTGGCATCTTTCACATGTCTCTACCGTCCGCGCGTTGCAATGCAATTACTGACAAACTACTCAGGAAGGCTTAAAAATAAGGCTCGGACTGGTCGGCCTACAGCTTCAGGCCGTAGCGAGGTCAACGAGCATCTTCATTGCACGCTTGAAGTTTTAATCAGTCTGAATGCCATCAAGGCGAATAGTCTCTTTCATGCAGAATAATGTAAGCAGTTTGTGCAGTGGTGGGGCGCGCTTAAACTGGCTTACAAGCCAGGTCTAGGAGGACTATCACTAGCTGTGGGGAGTGTGCTTCCTTGCTTTCTATGTCCGGCGTCGTGAACTCGCGAACGGACTCCACGAAGCTCCCCACGTACTTAAAATTACCAAGCGGGTATGGCGCGAGGTCATGTCAAGTTTGCGCCTCCTAGCTAACTGAACGCTGCTACTCAGACTCAAGAAAGAATCTGCATATGTCAGATCACAATCCCACGGCAAGCCCTTAGCACTGCTGGATCATCGAAGGCGCTGCGTTGAGTTGCTGCTGGGTATGTAGACCGGGTCCATCATGAGCCTCAAGTCACCCAGCGTTTCAAGATCGTTCGACAAGAAACTCAGGCCTAACAACACCTGCTGAGGAAACTGAAACCCTAAACCCTAAACCAGGTGAAGCACTAATTTAGTGAAGGTGCCGGCGTAAGCCATTCCGTTGATTCTGCGAATCGCTTCCGGGTTCGACGGTTCAGAGCGGCAGATGCACACTTAACCGTAGGGTTTTTGACGCTTACACTCGGACAAGCCTGGCAAGGTCTGCCGCGATACTGGTTCGACGGTTCAGGGAGTTTAGGGCTTAGGGCCCATAGGGTGCTGAAGCCCTAGGTTCCAAAGCAAAATGCAGAAGGGACCGGGCCTCCAGGCTAGATCAAACACGGTTGATAATACAAATCCTGCATTACCCATAAGAAGGTATATGCCATAATTCCCATAGTTTGGGGTCCTTAAGGCTGAAGGTAATGCAGGATTTATATCACCAACAGTATCATTCCTTCGATGAGGAATCTGGACACTCTTCGAACCAACCCCCGAAACCCTAACAGAAAGGGCTACACCCCAAAACTCGCACAATATCTTGAAGGCCCTCAGCTCCTCCAAAATCCTCAACCCAAACTACTCCCCATAACCTTCAGACACCCCCTTGCCCCCGTAATGGAGGGGCCTTCATAATTTGAATAGGGTTTTTCGGGTATATTACACTATAGTTACCCCCAAGAAAATATCAGTAATTCTTAAGGCCCCTATAATAACCCTTTTGTAACCGGACTTGATGACTGCCAGCCTTGCCTCTTCTGCCGTTCTTCTACCCCCTATATAAACCTTATAAACCCTAAACCCTATATAAACCCTATATAAACCCTATATAAACCTTATAAACCCTGAACCCTATATAAACCCTATAAAACCCAAAACCCTCGGACTTGGGGTTCCCGGCATGCCCGAGATGCCGCAGCGCAGAGTGCCCGGGGCCTGCAGCAGCAGCGCGGCGGACCCACGCTGCTCCTCAAGGAGGCTTCGGGGATTTGTCGATTTGTGCAAGTTATTACAGTTTTGGGTTTTTTTGTAGGAGGGGCGGGGGGGGGGGCTAGGTGACGGGCTTACAAGTCAAGGAGTAACAGCATTTAGCAGCGCAGGGGCTCCGTGAAGCCGCGCACTATCCGGGAGCTTCACAACATTGAGCCTTCTTAATAAACGGCTTCAAGCAGCTGGAAATCAATGACACATCGTGGAGAGTAGGATGCCAAGCTCTCCCTAGCCTGAGGAAGGACCGCAGCTGGAACTTCCAGCAAAGCCTCAAGTCCTCTACCGGACTCGGAATGCTGAGTCATCAAGCCTCGTGCATAAACACAAGATCTATGTAAGCTGCGCAGTGGAGAAGCGCGGTGGAGAAGCTTATCCAAAATCCCACCAACAAACGGGCTCAACCTAAACCATCTTCAACAAGGAATTGCCCCCAATGGCGACTAAGTAAATTTTTGCACAAGCACGAAATGAAAGTAACTAAACCCCACCGCGGCCTTCTGAAGCCTCAAGACAGCGGAATATCATATCATCTCATCTCATATCATGATCAACTGCTGTAGAATATTATCATATTGCTGCTTATCATAACTATTATATGTCGTATACCATGTTATATAAGTATTTCGATAGTGAACCCTGGAGCTTCCGAAGTCCTTCGCCTCGCCCTCAGCAACGCCAGGCTCCAGAGGCCAGGGGCTGATCGTCACCTCAGCTCCGAGCCGTTTTCGAAGCCCAGGTTTTTTTTTGATACCCCTTTTCCGTCCGCATTGTACCATTGGTTGGAACAACCAACCAAAGGTCAGCACCTAGGGTCAGAAAGCGGAACAAGCTCCGTCATCTAGGAATTGTGTCGGACCAGGGTCTGATGTCAGGCTGATGCCCAGAGGGCACATATCTGGCAGTACGAAACCCCACAGCGGACAGCGATCGCTAGATCACCAGGGTTTGGGGCCTAGGGTGTTTTGGGATAGCTCTAGGATACTTTAGGTTGCGATTCCGTGGGCTGCACTCTGGGGATATAGGGTTTAAGGGCATGCGGAAAAGCTTTCAGTTGACGGTGTGGGATTCTTCGATTCCTCCAGGGCTCTGTGATATTTTTTGCCTCTCGCATAAAGTGGTTTTGGATTTAAGGGCTCATGGTACAACTTCGTTATCAAACCAGGCACCGCCTCAGGCGGAGCATCCTGCCACATGTCCCAGCAGTTGTTGCAGTACCACAGGCCCTCGAAATAGCCTGCAGCACCAGAAGCCACAGGGCAGGCATGAACAAACCGCAAAGTGGCAAATGAATTCAGCGCGCGACGAACTTCGATCCAGTTAGGCAATTCTCCGCTTACTGCCTGACCTAATTGCAGCCCACCTTCTCCACACTGGCCCTCAGCCGTCAGCTTGCCGCATTCAGCACAGGGGCGCCCCTCTGCTGGCGGTGGCGGTGTGGCACCCTGGGCACGGATGGGTACCTATACCACAGATGACCAGCTTCTACTAGCTCATTAGCAGATCGATATCGAGCATTTTGCAAAGCTGCTTCCGAATGCAGTCAGCTGCGGCACCGCCCGTGCCGCGAAATCTGGATCCGAGAACTACAGTTTTCATCAAGGAAGCAGTCGCAACACCCCGTCCGAAAGGGCTCCTTGAGTGAACTGATGCCTCCACGGCAGGCATCTTGTGATACCAATGGCACCGACTTCACATGCACACGATCTGAGAATAAATCAATATGAAGATGAAATGAGGTGGTCCCAACTGAAGAAGACACAGCTCTCAAACAGAAAGGGAGAGAGCGAGAGAGAGGGAGGGAGAGGGAGTGAGAGAGGGACGGAGAAAGAGAGAAATACAGATACATGTGCAGAGGCACATAAGTATATATGCGGAAATATATGTATGCATCCAGTAACATAGTAACAAAGAGACACTTCAGAAATTGACTCTGAAATGTCTTGGTTCACCCTCATCTCCAAACCAAACCGAACCTCGAGGTGCCATTCCACACCAATGTTGCCCGGCCAATCTTCATCCTGCTCTGCGCCTACTCCAGCAGCTACTCCTACTCCTCCTCCTCCTCCGACTCCCACTCTACTCCTACACCCACCCCTAGTGCCACTGCCACTGCTGCAGCAACAACAACAACTACTACTACTACTGCTAGTACTCCGCCCTGCGCATGATTCTGACTTTTCATCTGCTCTATCGTTAGGTGACCTTGCACTCTGTTGGGAAATGGGTACTAAGGCTCCATCCTCAAGCCTAAACCTTGAAACCCTAAAGGAATCTATGTACCCTACCCAGCACGATCGCTTTAAAGTTTCTGAGGATCCCTGCTCACAAGCACCCTTTTTTGAGCAGGGACTGCAATGCACTAAGCCCTGATTCCCTTCAGCCAAGCTTCAGACTCACAAGCACCCCAATTGTCGAATCCGTCTGTGAAAAACACACGGCCACAGCGTCCTCGCTATCGATCTCCACCCGTTGGTCCGGAGCCACAGCTGGGCTTACGAAGTAGCCCATGTGGCCTTTTGGAAAGGGTTCAATGTGTTAGAACCTTCGACCCTCTCAACTTGGCAGAACCAGAAACCCTAAACCCTAAACCCTAACTTCTGCAACTGTCAGGAACCTTGAACACTCTCTTTGCAGCCCACTGGGCTGAAGCTCTCCACCCCCTGCTGCGTATAGGCTGACCACCCTGGGCTGCGGACGGGGATTCTCTGATGGGAGCTCATGGGTCTTTTAGCTTAGGTCGAACGTTCTGATGAAAATCCACGGGGAAACCTGGGTTCGTCTTGGTCGGGGCATTGGTTCGGTTTCGTCAAAACAGGAGAAGGTTGACGTCGAATGGCGGGCAAAAAACGATTCTATTTGAACGTCAGTGCTTGCATCGCATATACAGCCGCAGAAATCCACAACCAAAGACACTGCGCACACACACACACACATGCGTGTGTCTTTGCGTGTGTGTATGTATGAATATATAAGTAACAGATAGATGTTTATGTGTTCATTCATTCAATTATTTATGCATACATGCATACGTACAGGTATGCGGTATACATACAGACTTAGAGACTCATTCCGATGCACGACTGCAAATACTCTGCATCTTGTGCCTGAGACAGCAATTAGTTCTAACTAGAATCAGAAATTTAGATACACTGCATCATTCCACAAGGAAATGAATTCTATTCAAACAGACTTAAGCGGTGCTCAATGGCAGGCACCCTATGTCTGCTAGATGTAGGTTTCGGGCTCGCTTTCTGAAATAAGATTGCCCTTAAAGCCAGGATATAGGCTTCGGCGCAAGCCGCTTCCTGAGGCTGAATCTGAGCTTCCCCGAATCTCACACCATGTCAGCCTGGCGGCTATGAAGCTCCACCTCAGCAGAAAGGGCACAGAGCTGAGCAAGACCTAGCTGACGCCATGTGAAGCCACCGCATCTTTCCCAAAGCAACCAACAACTCACGGGCTCAAGCCGCGAAAGCTGCAACAACGATGTCGAGACTGCAACAAAAACACACTTTGAACACTTCAACGACAAACCACGCTCGATTGTCGTCTGGTCCCGGAGTGTTAAAGTTTATAGGTCCTTATAGGTGTTGATCGGCTCAGGGATGTTTGGGTGGCTTCATGGAAGCCAACTGTGGATCTGCCCCGGGTTCGAGCGTGTGCCCATGCAAGTGCTTACGCTCTGACGGCCCCTTGCATCTACATCCATTTGCATGACTCCTGAAGGCTTCATACCTAAACGTCCACTGCCGTCCATCCTATACCCTCCAGCAGTAGAGTGCATCAGCCCTGACACGTTGAATCTGTAAACCTTGAACCGTAAAACTTCCGATGATAAAACACCAAAAGCTGACCCACAAGCCTACATTGCAGAAGTCCGTGATTTTGCAAGAACGAATCAACGTGTAGCATACTTCGAAGGACAGAAGGACACTCCTTTTACGTCAGGCTTGTTGGGTTCACGTCTGGATGTGCACACTCAGGGGACATGGTACTTTCCACTTCTCGGGGCAAAATTGTAACATTGGAGCCCGAACTTTTGCATACTACACCACACGCACCATGCACTTTATCGGCATTGGCCAAACCGCCTCCAAGTCGAGGTAGCTGTCGCGCGAGAGGCGCTCCAATGCATCGTGAAGCTGGACGCCTGTGAACGGTTGATTTTGGGGGTGTAGGTAAACAGATGTCAAATAATGCAGTTTCGTTGATACCGCGCAGACAAACAGAAAGACATGAATCGCCTCTGGTGCTTGGACTGTCGCCGACATGAGAGTCATCATGGCGCCTGTTGGCGCACTGGTTCCCACGCCGCAATTGGCAGCTAGGATCGACAGCGCCAAAAGCGTCCTTGCGCAGGTGTAATTCCTAACAGGCCCATACTGTGCACCGTAGTTTTCCATAGATGCGAAAATCCACTCCCTATATATATGTATATATACACATATACATACATACAATCATACTATACCCAACACCAAGTATGCTCATTGCCAAGTGGCTTGCTCTGAGCGTCCGGCTTCTTATTGGCTCGCATGAGCCACTCGGCTGCAACCTTGCCAATGCCCGAACCCTAAACCCCAAATCCAACCCGATGGCTCCACGCTTGCACCCCAGCATGAAAGAACAAGCATGCACGACATCAAATAAACGGAATGATTCGGAATGATGAAGATGAGAATGAAGTTATTGGAGATCGAGGAGTAATGTTTGTCGATAACGCAAGCAAGGACCATCGAGACAGTTCAAAAGCTTATCATAGTACATGTGAGCGTCTTCACACGGGGCGGCCAGCCCACACAAATCTTGTGATGCTTCTGAATAATGCGAAGCCAGGAGTCTGGCTTGAAGGAGTCGCTGAGGAACATGCTGCCATCAAACTCTGCCTAGGCTGCGGCTTCAGTCGCGGTTTCCATCATTCTCTCAGCATCGCTTTTCGGTATCCATGTCGGTCTCCACATCACTGCACGAGCCCCAAGGCCGTAAAGCCGCTTCTCCTGGACGGCCGATTTCCAAGCCAGAAATTAGACACTCCAACTATTGCCCGGGCACGTGCAGCAGCAGCCAGCAAAAGGTCCGGCACAGCAGTCTGAGAAGTTTGGCCGTCTCGGCCGCATGGCACTCCTTCGAGCAGCGCGACGAACTGAAAAGGCATCTAGTAGCATCCCTGTCCTACTATCTGCCTGCTGCGTCGTCGACTTTATCCAACTGCACAACTTCTTTTGTAAAGGAACGAAGCACCCGACATCCTGCGGTCTCGAAAAAATCACAACCTGGAGAACTCCGAACCCTGACTCCCTAGCATCTTGCAATGCTGCTCCACCTATCGCGGTTCTGATGACATCCCGTAGCCTTGAGCCGTTTAGAACGACCCAACCTCTCAGCCAAACTTCTGTATGTGGCCCAATGTGGCCCGACTCACCCAGCCTCGATCAGCTTCCGCCCAAAAGGTGCGATGAAACGAAACCCAAGGCGCATGAAGTCCAGGGCCCTGGGGGGATGTTTGTTCCCCTTCTAGTGACTATTTATATATATATATATATATACATATTATAAAAATACATATATGCTAATGCTATATATATATATATGTATACACACAGTGTCTTGTACACGCATATGGTACATACTCGTAGCACAACAGCGAAACTTGCTCTCTTCTTCAACAACAAGGCCCAAAAAAGTTCAAACTTTTTATGATAGACTTAATATATAAGGCCAAAAAGTTTAAAGTTCTCCCATTGAGGACCTAAGCTTGTGCAAGCGGATGATTCTCATCCTTTACGCATATACTACACTCGGTTTAGGGCTTAGGGTCTCCAACTATCCAAAAGCACAGTCATTTGGCAGTCCCTTCGACGAAAGCACAGTATGTGCATACCACACGGGCTGTTTCAGAAACCAATTCTGAGCTACAGAGGTGTCGTACTGCTGTGGAACGAGGAGACAGCCCTGACATGGCGAAGAACGGTTGCACAATGGTGCACATGATACATGATCTGCAGGCGCGGTTTAACCCCGAAACTTGCACTCCAAACCACATCTTTCGGCATTGAACCCGAAGCTTGACACCCAAACCAGCCGTACCAAAATCCACCTCAACAGTTCTTCAACAGTTGAGACCACGCGCGGAACCTCAAACGTTCAGTTGCTCCAACGCGCACCTTTTAAGATCAATAACCTGAAGTTGAAGCCGTTAGCTCCTCACGCCTTGAACCCTTAAGCCCTCAGTTCCAAAACCTCAGAAATCCGAAGGCCGAAACACGAAAACCCAAAACCTAAACTTTCCTGCAAGAGGCATGCAGCGGCTCAGAAGCCTTCCTGGGCCAGCTAAGTCGACACTTCCAATAAGGCCTGGGCTGGGCCGGACTGAGGGAGGGCTCCTAGGGGGCATATGGTTCACCCAGACCTCAGTAAATTTATTGTTTAGGTTTAGGGTTTAGGGTTTAGGGCTTAAAGGGTGGAGTTTATTGTTTAGGGTCTTCTGGGGCTCGGAGGGTACAGGGTGCAGGCTTTAACCTATGAGGCTTACCTCAGTATATATGCCGGGCCCGGGTAGAAGCAGCAAGAGCAACAGCCAAGACATATTTATGAGTTATGACAGCTGCGTTACTTAACCTAAGTTTCCAACATCTGCCATTTGCCTGTCATGCTATATCCAGCTACTCAGCTAAATTAACCAAACTCGTACCCAAGAAGATCGAAACTGGAATCTGCCGAGGCACTTTGCAATGCGCGAATCAAAGCTGCCAGGACGGCCTCCAGTCTACATATCCCAGGACTCTGCGGGTAAGGCTTAAAAAAAACAGGGCGTGGTGGCTGATGGCCATGCTGCGAAGAATCGCACGTATGACTATGGCGGTCAATCCGGCCCCTGGGCCATCGCAGATAGAGGTCGACAAATACTGCAAGTAGCTCGAAGTCTAGCAGAAGAACAGCAGCGCAACCAGAGTGCGCGACCATAAATCCAAGTTCTTGAATCCAGGGTCCAGGGAAAGCAAGCCTGGCGCTGCGACTGCTCTTCTGCCGCATGAAGAGCACGACCGAGCCTCTGCACGGTGCACGCGCGTGACTGCAAATGGTTTCGGGTTTGCAGGTTGAGGCCCAGGTGGGGTTTCAGTGGCTGCGACTGCTTTCTGCTTGGCGGTCTGTGGTGCCGACCAAAGCCTGCAAAGCTTCCATCTAACATCGGAAATGAGAACGCGGGGGGAAAGATGAAACCAGACAAGCTAGCGCAAGATGCAGGAAACTAGCCGGATCTCACATCAAGTTCACTTTGTTCTGTCACTTCAGAGTGAGAAAAGACAGAGAGGAGACAGACCAGTAACACACCACACAGCGACCAAGCACAGGATGCTTCACGGGCGCAGTGGCATGACAGCAAGATGTCAGCAACACAGAAGTGCACAGCCAGCAGCACCCTTAATGGCAGAGGCACACACACACACAACAACGACAGCTGCAGCTACAGCTGCGGGCACATGGGCAGGATTGAGGTCGACGTGCCATTCAAGTAAGTGACCATGTTAAGACTTCAGAAACACTCATGCGGCACAAAGACATGACTCGATGCTGCGTAGTTACCTAGCTACCTAAAACCCAAAATCCAGACCCAACACAATCAGGGCAGTAGAAACCTGAGGCTGTGCACTTGAATGGGTCGTGTTCAACAGCAAACGAAAGGCCATGGCCCAAGACCTCCTTTGTTTTGCTACTGGACTTAAGTCTAGCCAGACCAGGACCAGCACTGGCCTAAGGCCCCTAAGGCCCCTAAACCCGAGTTGGGTTTAGGGTTTAGGGTAACCCTTGACTTGGGAGATCTTGGCATGCTTGTCTAGGCGACTGCGTAGGTGAAGGGTTTTCGGGCATCCCGCAGCACAAATCCAATCGAGTGTCCGTGACCGGCCGTGTGGCTTGCGTTTCGTCTTGAAAAAATCGACCCGAATGCGATCAACCCTGTGGACCTTGCAACAAAATCGGCATTGAAAGACTCCCCTAAACCCCAAAAAAGACTGTTTGCCGACCGGGTGCACGTCGAACTGGACGTAGCTCAAAGCAATGACCTTTGACCAGCTTTCCATCATCACAGAGCTTTTGGCATTTACCTCTCTTCATATTGCATGTATAGTCCGGGTATGATGGAAGACAATGGATTAAGTCTTCAGATACATGTTTATACCCCGGCCAGTATTGAAGCCAGAGCCCTAAAGCAAGATTTCGGAGTTGGAAAGCACGGGCTAATTGGCTTTCGAAGTGCTGTAGATGCTTCTGGTTTGGAGCTGGGCACAGTGTGCGCATCTCAAAGAAGCCGCATCCTGGAAGCTCCACAAGCAGGTACACCCCAGGCACAAGAGGGTCACAAACCCAACACTGCAGGAACCTCGCCTGGCTATGGGCCAGCTGCCTCGCCCTGAAGGAGGCCATCGGAATCTGCACCAGATTGGATGGCCGGGGCCGAAGGCTTCTAGGTCTCAGGAACTTCGCGGGAAAAATGGTGAAAACTGCAAGCCCAGTTACGTAGTCGTCGGTCGTCGTCATCGTCGTCGTCGTCGTCGTAGTAGTAGTAGTAGTAGTAGTAGTAGTAGTAGTAGTAGTAGTAGTAGCAGCAGTAATGGTGGTCGCAGGTGGTGCTGCTGAGAAGAATAGCACCTCGTCGTGATGGAAGCAAGTGCGAATAGACTGCCACAAGCTATGACAACATGCTAGCATTATGGACGCACGGAAACGGTAACAGGCAACAAGCGATATCTTTTCCGAAGCAGAGCCCGCTTGCAAGCTTCCCGGTTCGTTGATGTCCCTTCCTCTGCTAGTCGGTTCATTGTGGACTTCGCATTCACGAAAACGAAGAGAAGGGAAGAAGGGCACAGCTGGGATCTCGTCTTTACAGACTATCATCGGATAAGGGACCCTCACTGGCCCTCACTCATGTAGCACAAACCTTTTCTCATAGTTACATAGTTTGGGTCAACAGTTGTTTTTGGCTGGTTCTGGCTGGGATTACAGTGCACCGAATCCTCGAATCAAGCTGGGGAATTGAACTGCAATACACCCTTCATGGCTTACAGCTTTAGTTTACTTTGAACCCCGTCAGCTTGCTGCTCCAAACTCTCATTCTAAGCTCCGCTGCTGCACTCCGCCTGCCTCGTTGAAGTCCAATGTCGGCTCGGCTCGTTGCATCAGCCAAGCGAAAACATCAGGGCTTGTGAGTTGCCTTGGGCGACATGGTGACAGGCATTCGCGCAGTGTAGACAAGAGTCTACGGTTCCGGGCTCCCGTTAAGTATGCTGATTTGAGTGACGGTCTCTGAAGGGGGCCCGACAAGCTCGTGGTTACCAGGAAGGGCAGCCAGAACGGGCAAGCTACAAAACTGTCGTTCTAGGCGGCGCCTTCGTAGAATCGGCTACACCCGACAACATGGATCGCGAAAGTGCGCGGCCCCTTAAAGCCCCAAGCCAGCAAAAGCACTCGACAACGGTCTAGGAGGGTTTGAAGCCAAGCGAGTCCGGGCAAGCTGCTGTAGCAGCGAGCATAGCTGCAACGGCCACAGGGGCAGCCCGGGCGGTCGTGGGGCAATCAAGGCCTCGCCGCGACGTTGCCGAAGTATCGGGTTCCCCCAAACCCTGAAATCTGAAACCCCGTGAAGCCCTGAAGGTAAACCACAACCTCAGAGCCCTCCAGATTCCTCAGACATTGAAAGTCTCACTTAAACCCTCAAGGCCCTAGGTTGCAGGGCTTGGGTTTCGGACTTAGCTCCTCCAATCCAGTTGGTGATACGGTTCAGGGTTTCGCGAGCTTAGGGGTGCGAATGGACCCCCTTAGGAGATAAAACTGGTGTAACGCTACCACAATTGAGGGGCCAGGTAAAGGCCTCCGGGTTTTCGGCAGGATGTTGGCTCTCGCACTTGGCACTCCCCAGGGATGAGGATGCAACAATAGGCCTGTCTTTCAAACTTGCATCATGCCGACAAGCTACATGCTCAATCGACTTCAATGTCAAGCCTCTCAACAGCACCAGTTCCCAAATTTTGTTAAAGTCCAGAAGCTCCAACCCGAGCCCAACAGTGCAAGGGCTTAGTTAGGGTTTAGGATAAGCTCCAGCTACATGGTTAAACTCACAAACCCGGATTGAATCTGTTTGAAGCGCCCCACGAAAACGCCTCCGCGATTACCGCAACGGCTAAGGCAACGTCTGCGCCACAAAGATCCAACAGCTCTTGTGCTGTAATTTTGTCCTGCAGGGTGGCATGCCGGGAAGCCATTGGGGAATGCGGGCATGCAAAGCTGCTGCATGAGATCCCATGGCCAATCAACTTGCCTCAAAGCCTCTTGGACAACAGAAGATGTTCCCGCCAAATATGCTACAGAAACTTCAGCTACGTAAACATAGAAAACGTAAGTTACGAAGCCTGCCGTGAACTCACTATAGATGCCCGGATGACACAACTCACTCGCAGTCTCCTGGCCGACACACCTGGCAAGATTGAAGGTGAAACAAATCGCCACGCGGACATATCAGTAACGCATGAGAAACATAATATGCTGGAGTGCCAGAACTGCAGCAAAGCTCATGTTGCACAAAACAAGCGCGCAGATAGTTTTGTTTGTTTGTGCACATGGGGGTGACTATGCATGTGTATGTGCGCATGCGTATACGTTTGTACACTGGCAGGACATTTTTGGCACTCGCGCTCGACACAGGTTGGACATACATACATACATACGTACATACATACATACATACATACATACATACCTACATACCATTACATTACATTACATTACATTA